GACAGGGGGCACCCCAGCCCAAGAGCAAAGCGTCTGTAGTAGGGATTACCTCATGTTCAGAAACTCCGAAGGAAAACCCCTGGGATAAACTATCCATAGGAGACCACCACAATAAAGAATGCATGACAGGTCTGGAAATAGAGACTCTGTGCCATAAGGCATGAAGCCCAGCTCTATAACGAGACAGAAACCAGAACTGCAGGGGTCGCATATGTAACCTGGCTATAGGCAGGGCTGCAGTGGTAAAAGCCATATATCCCAAAAGGCGCAGAATTTTCAGAACCGACTGAAACCAGTGAGATCTGATCTGCCACACCAAGGCAAAGGTAGCCTGAACCCTTCCAGGAAATAGAAAACCCTTCCCCGCTAGGGAATCTAGCATAGATCTGATAAATCCCCTGGGTGCCGGTAGGGCAGTCCCCACCCCTGACTATGTGTGGCCATAGATAGGGATAAAAGTAACTGTAAGCCGCTCAAAGACCCCTCGGGGTTCGAGCGGGATACAAGTTGTAAGCATCAATCAATCAATAAATAAATAAATAAATTGTACCCTCTGAGATGGAACTAATCGTGATTTATCCCAACTTACCAGGAGGACTAGTCCTTGACAGGTCTCCCAGTCAAGAGTGCAATGGTCCTTTGAATCCGCCACCGGTAACCAATCCTCTAAGTAAGGGAATGCATAGCAACCCCACAAAAGGAGGTAAGCAATAACTCGGCCTAGACACCTAAAGTATACCCTGGGTGTGGCAGCTAGACCAAAGGGTGGGACAGCCTGGCGGGGAGGGTGGGATAAAAATAAAAGGAAACAAACAAACAAACAAACAAACAGTGTACTGAAAAACCTGTTCCCTACATGAAACACATAAGAACTTGCGATGTTGAGGGTGGATAGAAACATGAAAACAGGCATCCTTCAAATCGATAATGATGAACCAACAATTGAATTTTAATAATTGCAAAATTAAAGGAATGGACCCCATATGGAACGTTGAAGCATGAAGAAAACCGTTTAATTTTCTGAGGTCCAAAATGGGTCTGACTCCCCCATCTTTCTTATCTACTAAGAACATACAAGAGAAAAAACCCTCCGATGGCTGAAACACAGTAACTTCCTCTATGGCGCCCTTGTGAATTAATGAGGCCAAAGCCTGGACAAGACACAAAACCGTTTGGCTGGATCTCTTAAAAGGTAAAGAGCAAGGGGGAATATACTTAAATTCTAATCTGTAACCCAATCTAACTGTTGACAAAAACCCCTTGTCAGAGGTAATAGCTTCCCAGGATATAACAAACTAAGCCAGCTGGTCCCTGAATTTATGCACAGTGCCTATGTGGGATTGCACAAAAAAACAATGATGAGGCTGTGTTCTTACAGCACCACCAGTCACACCCAAAAGATGACGACTGCCTTCAGCACTCAGCCAAAAGCCAAACCTCTGACCTCGCTCTCAACCACAGCTTCTCTCTATCTTGCTTTCAGTCTCAAACCTTTCTGGTTTGATCAAGTACCAGCTGCCAATGCGAGATGGTGGGTATTTTGTGTTTGTTCAGGAACTACCATAAACCTTTTTTCCCCCCATTGCATTTATACCCCGCCCTTCCCGCGAACGGGCTCCTGGTAGTCTTAAAAAATGGACTCCTTTTCTTCCCCCCTCCCCCAGTTATGCAAGAAGCATACAGAAGTTCATCTCTTTCTTGCTATGCTGAAATCAAACAGGTCCAATAAAAGGCCATCACCAGACAATATTAAAACTGGTGAATCTGTAGCAGACAAAATGTTAGTGTGGACATTCTTTTTCCATTTGCAGTAACGCTCTTTTTCTGATTTAGTTGCAGGCGTTCACACAACTGTGCAGTCTCA